TGCAGTCACTGACCCACAACTCTACCATAACAAACCAGCATCAAAACTCCCAGGTTGTAAATCTCCACTCAGGGGCGGAGCTAGATGGGGGGCCAGGGGTGGCCATGGCACACACTTAGCCAATCATTATTATTGAATATCATTAAATGTGAATATTAGTACATTTAAATATTTTTTTTTTTGCAGAATGATTATTGATAAAAGTAAGTAATGACAATGTCAAAGATGTTCGCCCCAGAACTCAAACCTGAAAGAATTTTGCCCACTATACCTTTAATTTAGACAGCATAGATGTTTAAATATCTGTGTCTATTTGTTAGCAAAGATGTAGGAAAGTATGGATAGTCTTTTTTTTTTTTTTTTTTTTTTTTTTTAGAAAATATTTATGTTGTGCTCATTCCTGTTAGAAGAGTGTAGATTAACCCTGAGGTTCTGGCGCCTTTTGGCCACTCCTCAATGTACATTGGTTAATGACTGGGCCCCCCTATTAGGATTTTCTGGCTACGCCTCTGTCTCCACTGTTCCTGCTGATAATGTAAATTATCATATGGGTCATGGTGATAGTAGTAGTATAAGCGCATAGATAAAAACAAATGGGGTAGAAAAGTTCCCTGTCCTGCGTTCCCTGTTTATAATGGTTTTAAAAACTATGTCTAGAGCGTCATTATTCATTCATTCGTCCATTTAAGTGTGTGTTACACAGTAAATGGATTCGTGTCCTTGTGGGTGGATGACGAGCAGACAGGTAATAAGCAGAGCCTATGGCAAGCCGTTTTAACATAAATTCGGCTGCTCCACCTTTACATTCAAGATATCTCAAATTGTTTTATGACTAGACGTTTTAGTAATTTAAGATATCTCTAAATATATTTTGACTAGTCAAAATTCCTATTCGGGATATCTCTAATTACATTCTGACTAGTCGAAATGACGTCAGATTTACCATTAACTTGTATGGAGACGTCAATTTAAGATATCTAGAATTAATTACTGACTATCTGAAATACACATTTCAGATATCTACAATTAAATTACGACTAGTCATAAAGGAAATTGAAGATATCTCGATTTTAGTTTTGACTAGTCATAATTCTAATTAAAGATATCTCAAATGCCACCATATTTCAAGATATCTTAAATGTATTTTGGGATAGGACTAGACAATAATGACTAGACAAAACAAATTTAAAGATATCTTGAATTGTAATTTCGACTATTCGAAATTCCTTTTAAGATATCTCTAAATGAATTAAAGATATCTTGAATTATTCAGCTTTTCCATTAAAGATATCTTAAATTGACATTCTGACTAGTCAAAATGACATCAGTGATATCTTGCCATAAATCAAAAACGTCAGAGATTTGCGTAGCGTTTTGGCGGACAGGTGTTAGCCTTGCTAGCTAATTGATTGTGCTATTCAGTGGTCCACAATAGCTGCGTCTCAATTTGCAGGCTGTGTTCTTCGAAGGACCCAGCCTACCCAGCCTTAGGAGGACCCAGGAGGATGCTCCGAAGGCTCCGATGGCTGTGATATGGAAATTTTTATTTTATTTTATTTTTTATTTACTTATTATTGGAGGAGGAGAGTCGGCTTTGACGGCTTCGGCGGCAGCAAAACCGTCGACGGATTTTTCTCAGGCTGGGAGAGCGCAGTGGAGAGGTAACATCTAGGCTACATGTTATTATTTTCCCCCACAGGGGCCTGCTAATGATCAGAATATACCAGCTATTAAACAAACGTTTGTCAGCAGATTGACGAATATGTTTATCAAATTTTAGATTCATTTGTATGACTTGGTATAAGCTTGTTTGTAACTTTAGTAATTTGAATTGCATAGTTAAATGTGTACAAACCCTGTAAATAACTGACTTAAATCACTACTTTCACCATTACTAATGTTGTGTTGAGAACCCAAACGGTGTTAGATTGAGAAATAAATCATTATTTGTCTAAATTATCCCCTTACTGCCTGATTTTATTTGCAATTATATAACAAAAACAGAAAACAGGAAAAAAAAATTCTAAATCTAAAAACGAAAGAAAAAAAAAAGTTAAATAGTGGATCTAGATTAGGTAAAATAAAATTTCTAATAATTCATGTAGCAAAGATAATGAAAAAAGATAGATGACTGAATAAAAAAAAAAAATTTTGTCTCCTTTTTTCTACAGGTCATAATGGCATGTGCTGTCCTGCACAACATCTGCCTGGGAGCCCGTGACCCCCCAGATGATGTCCCACTCGCAGTCAGAAGACTCCAAGCTCATCTGTGTGGCATCGCATCCCATCCAGTCCAGCAGCACCACCAGGGACTCCTGCTCAGTGACAATTGTGTATATATATATATGTTCTCAAGTAATAATTATTGTATATCTTCCGTAAATAGTAGTAGTTAATTTTAAAATCTAATGTAGTTAAAAATGTTTTTAATAGTTTATTGTAAATACTTGCTTCTCTAAAAAATAAACTGATGTTGTCACTGAGAAGTTGTTCTAAGTTTACTTAACTTCTTACACCCTCGGGGGGAATAAATAAATTTCCGCCTGACAAAAACACACAAAAGTAAATCACTTATAGCCTCACAGCTATTAGATTTAAGAAGAAACTTTTGGTACCTCTGTAAAGGTAAGATGTCATAGAATGGTTTTCTGGTGTCAGCACCATTGTAGCTTTGACCCTGCCTGAAATATTAGGGACAAAATATTTTGCATTTTTTGAACCTCGCCAAAATTTTCTTTGAAATAAACATTGCAAAACATTACCAAAATATTATTTATAGCACAAAAAAGTAGTACAGACTTTTAAATCTAAATGTTGTGTAAAAATATACCAAATTTGGACTCAATCAGATGAATCATATTTATTTTAGAATGGTATTAGTGAGAAATTTCTTAGGCGGAGAGGCCATTTTGGCACATTTATCCAAAAATGTCACCAAACTGTGCCAAATGTGTTTTTTACATCAATACTGGGGGTTTGGTAAAATTACGAGGTCACGTAGCAGCTGGACCCGCCGGTGGGTCCGTAGGGTTCAAGGGGTTAAATTGTAAAGAAGTGATGAAACAGATAATGTAAAAAGGTTAAAAGACACACCGATAACAATAACTTTTATAAACAATTTAATAATTTAATTTAACAATAACAGCAACACAGAACCTCCACTTGTAAAAGACAAAACAAAACAAAAAATCAACATCTGTCCACCATCCTCTCCAATAAATGAAATAATCTGTCCATCCTTTCCCGCCTCCCTCTGCCATCTCATATCCTCCCTCATTAAATCAACCAACTCGTCACTCCTTCTTCTCTTCCTCCTTTCCCTCCTCTCTCATCCTCATTCTCTTCCTCATCTTCACCCTGATGCTGCTCAGCCTCTGCAGCACCTGGCCCTGTTGTGTCCTCAGGGATGGAGGCAATTAGGACAGGTGGGTTTAACAGAGGGCCTCTGTCCTAATACCTCATCCATGAGGACAAACCAGGGCCAGGTGGCAGCAGTAGGATTCCCACTGACCCCCTGCTCTGTCTCTGGATCTTTGCATTACTAAAGTGGAGGAAAACAATTTGTGTCAACAGATGCTTTTTTCTGTAGTGTTTCTTTAAAGCTATAGGAGTGTTTCATGAACTGGATGGATTGATGAAATTCTACAGAAAAAGACTACTTTGGAATGATAACCTGGAGAGGAATTTTTTCAAGCTTACTAAAAGTGTTTTAATGTAATATTATATTCATTATTGGAAAATGGTTTATTCTCAAGTGAAGATTCTTTAAAATGTCTCCCAATTTCCAAGCAAAACGTTTTCATGACTTAAGTTACTGTAAAATAAAGAATCCTTCAGGTCTTCAGATTTTATAGCAGTATACTTTAGCTAAACCTGTGTTACTTGTTTTATTTTGTTTTTCTTTTTTTCTATTTTTTCCTTTTGATTCTTTAAAATTTTTTGTCTGTTTAAGTTTATAGTTTTTTATCTTATAAAAACCATTATGGATTGCATCTGTTCAATTGTACCTTTCTGCTGTTTGAAATAGTATTTTGAATTTGTTTTTCAATAAAATAAAATAAAATCTAAGTGTGAATCAGACATGAAGCGGAGGTGCGCTTTTATTTTCAGAGGAGCTGAAGGAGGGTGCTGTAATGCTTTGTGCCGTCTAGCAAGTCAAAATCAAAAGCTAGTTGGCTTTACTATAATTTCCGAAGAGGCAGAAAGCTTTACCACAGTATTAAAAACTGCATCTGGTTATTACCTGAACCGGCCTGGGCTGCCGAATATTCATTGTTTCCAGATCGGACATGGGTCGATATTAACACTTTCAGCTCCTCTAAGCCGTTTTTAAGTGCGTTGTGTGTGTCGGCAGAAAGTTGATCAGAAATTCTTTGCAAATTCCGCAAGCATTCTTCAAGAATGCTTTTTTTCTCGCTCTCCACATAACCCAGAATGAAAAACTCTTTCGATATTGTGGCATTTTCTCACAATTTTGTCCAAAACTGCCAGCACCATTGAATCTTCAGGCAATTGTTTGAACAGCTTAGTACAGCCAATAAGAGGCTTACACGCAATCTCTTACTTCAGATATCTAAAATTGTAATACTGACTAGGCATAATTACGTTCGAGATATCTTAAATTATAATTACCGATGTGTGACGCTTTAAATGAGGAATCCGGTGACGTAATTTGAGATATCTTGAAAGGAATTTTGACTAGTCAAAATGTGATTGAAGATATCTTGAATTATTATTCTTCCTAATCAGATTGTAAATAGAGATATCTTAAATTACTGTTCCGGATAGTCAAAATGTGGTTTTGTCTAGTCAAAAAGTATTTTAAGATATCTGGAACGTAATTATGGATAGTCAGACGAAACCGAATTTATGTTAAAACGGCTTGCCATAAGAGCCAGACAGAGCTGTTCAGAGCGCTCCGGGGCTCCGCCGGCCAGCCAATGGTGACACGTTGTTCTTCCCCGTGACGTCATCGCCCACCACTCCTCTAGCTAAAGAAGGAAACAAACATCCATCCAGCAGCAGAAGAAGGGGGACGGGAGACGGAGAGAGGAAGGAGGAAAAGGCAGGAGGCCCAGGAAGGGACGTTTAGACCCGTCTAAATCCGCCTGACTGAGAGGACGACGACGCAGAAACGCTGCTAGAAGAAAAAAAAAACAAAACACCAAATAACTTCAACCTTTTCCTGAAAAAGACAGCCGTTTTTTTTTTCTTCCCACGTCATCTCGCGAGAAAAACCCATCGATTTTTCAGCAGGTGATCATCTTGGATTATTATTTTCTTCTTGTTCTTTTTAAACGGATTTTCGATTATAGAAAACAGAAAACTGTTTGATCTGAGGTTTGATTTGTTAAAAGATACTCGCTTTTGATCAGATGACGGCTTTAATGGTGACCTTTAATGATGGATTAAAAGGTCACACGGCGCGTGCTTGGTGGCGATCAACCGTTCTTTTGTCTTTGCCACCTCCACCATGTCCTCCTCCACCTGACTTCAAATATCACAGGTCCTCGAACGTGACTCTGTAAAAAAAAAAACAAGGGAGGGAGCTTGGTGCTGCTTACAGTCCCTGTTTTTACAGCTTGTCCTGAGCTGGGGGGAAGGGGCGATCCAAAAGCCTGTTAATTCCTGTCTACAAATAGACAATTTATAAGCCGAATAGACAAGTAGAGCGAGAGAGAGGTTGCTCTGAAATGAACCCCACAGCTTCAGCTTCTTTACATCAGTAAAACTGGAGCTTTAGCTTGTAGTTGGAGCTGTTTGCTGAGTCTGGGTTTCGGTCGACGTTTGGGCTCTAAAAAAAAGTCCAAGCGTTTGATTAGGATTATATGATCTGAATTTCTAACGTTGTTTTTCTTAGGGGCATTTTGGGGTTCCGTTTTAGGTCGAATTGTTGAGACAAATGCGACAAACAGGGCGATTTAAAAACAGGAAGCAAACAGGCTGCAAACAAAGGAGGAAAGAAGAAACAAAGGGAGGACGGTTCAATCCGGCTTTATGTCTGTTTAAATATAGGCTAAACGTTGGTTCGTTTTCCTCCAACTTCTGGTGTTTATTTCTTTTCATTTTTATTTGTTTTGATAGAGAATAATGACCAGTTTCTGTCCTGTCTTTCACTGTGACTCAGGACTTTGTAACCTAACAGGAAGGCCTGAAATATGAGCTCCCCCTTTGTTTGCTAAAGTTAACCCCATACATGTTGGTTTAAATTGCTAGTACGTGGAAAACATGGCTGAGTCGTGCTGGTTGGTTATGAATGCGTGTGTTTTAACAGTTTTGTTCAAGGAAACTGTGGTGAGTGGCTGTCTGTGCTGGAAACTCCCTGACTTGCCCTGTCAGATGGGTTTTCTAATGCATAATGCACCTTATTAAGGTCACAGTCCTTTTGGATTGAAAGCCATTGCAGTCAAATGCCAGATAAATAAGCAACACAGGTAACTATTTCAATATTTTATGCTGCTTTTTTTTTAAAAACAATTATAAAACTGAAGATTTATCACATCCTTTGGACAAGGGGAGCTGAAAGGGCTTCCTATAAATATAGAATTTAAATGTAGTGTTTTTTGTATTGCTTTGATGAAAGCAATTCTCAAAAATTTTAATTAATGTTCTTTTTTTTTGTAAATTGTTACATCTTTTGGCTTTCTTGTGATATCTGAGGTCCAACTTTCCTATTCCAATGATCAACAAACTACAAGACAGAGAGATCCTTTGATACACTAAGATTAACCAGATAATTTTTAATTGAACTATAGACAAAAAGGAATATGATCTATAGTTTGAAAGCAAGTACAAATTAAAGTGACCTGAGTATGTCTGCTTTGAAAATGTAACTGCCAACATAATCCACTGTAAATTGAAACAGTCTCTTACATAACACTCCAAGACTCAGACATTGTAATGTATTTTCTTTTATTTAGTAAACCCATCTGAATGTATAAGGGGTAGGGTTGTCAAAAGTATCGATACTCAAAAAAGTATCGATACTGCAATGTTGTATCCGGATACAATACTTGTTTTTAAAAGTATCGATACAGTGCTACCACCAGTGGCACCTAAACAGTCATTCATCTAAAGTGCAGAATAGTGGAAAATGCACTTTCTTAACACTGTGATTGAATAATTCTACGCACTTTTCAGTTTCAGACTTTTTTTTGTAAGAGGTGCAGCTGCTGAGAATTATTTTTGTTTGGCTAGTGTCATGTGTGCAAAGCATAGCCAAGGAAGGAACACTTAATTTTATAAGTTTTTTTTATCAAGCTTGCTTAATATTGTGCACAGCATACAACCTCAAAATATTGTTCTTATTGTTTATTGTATTGTATTTATTAATGAATATATTTCTGTAGAATTTGGGAGTCTTTGTTTTTATCCTTGTGGTATCGAAAATGGTATCGAGTATCGAATATTTTCCTTCGTATCGGTATCGAGTTGAAAAGTTTAGTATCGTGACAACCCAAATAAGGGGTAATAATTTAGAGATTGACAAAAACTTAAGTATTTTTAAAAATTGAATTGATGATTTCATAAATTGCAACTGTTATACCAAGATGTGAGCTAAGTGATACCTTTCGAAAGTTATAAAGGAAAAAGGATTGGAGTTTAAAAGAAGTTTTATAGAACTATAGTTGTTTGAAAAAATTTTTTATGTCCGTTAGGTAATGCAGTTATTAATATATTGAACCATCGATTCTGCACTTTTATTTATATGGGAAACCTTTGGTCTCCTGCAAGTCTCTAACTCATTCGCTGTGTCTGGTATTTTTTTCAAGGGTCAGCAGTTGAACACGTGACACCAGTGGTGGTGATCTTTGTAAGCTTTTCCAAGAAGAGCTTTGTTGGCAGAGAAGTGCTAGCTTGTCGGTGTAAAGGGGCAGAGAAGGGCGGGTGGAGGGGTTTAGCCAAAGATTTTGTGACTTGCAGATAAGAAGGTCCCAAATGTTCTGATACAGGACTTCCTGAATCGCCTGCCGGCCTCTCCTTTAACATTCGTCTCTTGTTTGTCTGCGGCCAGAATATAAACAAGCTTTCGGACCAATCAGAGCAGCTGTTGTGTCACAGCAGAGTCAAAGGTTGTTTGTAAGGGAAATAGGAGGCTGTTGATGTGATCAGATGACATGCAAAACAGTGGGTCAATAAAGACGTGCAACCTGGGTCTGGTTGTCTCTGTTCGTAAGAGGAGTTTTTGAAGTGTTGTGTAGAAGTCAGCGTCTCCCATTACACAACTTCCTGTGGGGTCGATGTTGCATCAAAGGCAGGCAATGACGTCACAGCACTACATGTCCTGCCAAAATGCTTAAGAACACACAGAGGCGTGTGTGTGTGTGTGTGTGTGTGTGTGTGTGTGTGTGTGTGTGTGTGTGTGTGTGTGTGTGTGATACGGCACAGGACGTTTTCCCCCCTGAACACCTTCCTCTTAAACTGCCGACCTAGTTTGTTACTCATTACCCTCGGTTGTTGTCCCTGATGAGAAATGTTTGTCGTTATGTGGAGAGGGTTGTGAGTCAGAGCTTTGCTTTGTGTTTTAGTAAAGCAAGTACAGTAATTGGCCCGATAAGGTCATGGTATCAAAACCTACTCTAACAGGAATGACGGTTCGTCAGAAAAGGTTTTGAAGAGACGTTAACTAAATGAGAGCACAGGGTAGAAAGGGCTGTGAACAGAGCTATGTTGAGGGGAAAAAGTGAACACAACAGAGGAAGCGTTGTTTGTTATCTAAACTTCCTGTGGAGAAATGCTCCATATTGTATTCAGGCTAAAACAGACAGACGTGTCCTCTGGAAACAACAGAGATAACTTATTTTAAATTGTATTTTTTCCAAGTAAAGGTGCTTCTCTTTTGGTGCCTTTTCACTACAATAAACATTTGCCCTCTTTTTTTTTTTTTTTTTTTTTTTTTGCTAGCAATGGCTCAAGAGACGAACCAGAGCCCGGTCCCCATGCTTTGTGCCACAGGCTGTGGTTTCTACGGCAACCCACGAACCAATGGCATGTGCTCTGTTTGCTACAAGGAACACCTGACGCGACAGCAGAGCAGCGACCGCATGGGCCCCATGAGCCCAATGGGTAAGGCCACTTGCAAACCTAGTAGTAAAATAAAATATAACTATTTAAATAGAATGATTCATATTAAAATAAAAATCCAGTGATTGTATGCATGCCTAACAAAACTCTGTGGATCGATATCGGGCAGACATGCAGTCATCCCTAAAGCCAGCTGATTTCTGTTTTTATCTTCTACTTCAATCCTCCTTATTTTATTCGTTCTTAGTGGAAATGTTCATTTCTAAATTTGTTCTTTTTCATTTAGGCTCCACTGCTAGTCCCATCTCAGAGGCGTCTGCCATCCAGAGACTAGAAGCCAGTCTAGCTATGGTTGACGCCTCCCCTGCCTCCTCACCAGACATGTCTAGGTCAGCAATGGCTGCAGATGGCTCTGCACGATCAATAAACCCTCTTATTGCAATAATTATGAACGTCTTCCAGCCTGACAGGTCTCTTTTTCAATTTTAAACCAGCAGGACTGTTCAAGGATCTCTTCCTGTAACCCAACAGATGACAGAGATGAGCATCTCCAGGGAGGATAAGTCTGAACTCCTAGAGCCTGGTAAGACTTACACCCCCCCAAGAAAACACGCTTGTATCATAAACATGTATGTACAGTTGATAGAAACGTCAAGGCACACATTGCCTGAAAGCCTGCTTTTATTTTGATTTTTCAAAGCTTAAACTCAACAGCTGTTTTTTACTTGGAGCTTCTAAGAAGGAGATGGTATCTAAAAATAAGCCTGTTTAAAAATATCCTTTAACTAGAGGAGATACTCAGATTAGATCCTGCCTGCATGAGCCATGCTCAGTGTAGAGTGCTTTTATCTGACAGCAGCAAAAAGGCCAACCTAAAATTGAGAAGCATAGAGAGTAGAAGCAGATTTTCACAGTGTAACCCGGACTATAATTCTGCTTTTGGCACAATATTTGCACAAATGTTTGAACACAACTATTTAACATGATCTGACTTAATAGATATAGGGGAAAAAGTCTTAATTTAATAGTAGCTTTCAAGAGTAACCGTAGAGCTATAGTAATGGTTCCCCTACCTGCGGTAGATGGATGAACAAATTGCCATTAGTGAAAACGATCTCAGAGCAGTGAGACGTTTAACGTTGGCAGCCTGGGGAAATATAACTTAGATCTGGCAACAGTTCGGTGGAGAAAATGGCCTAAAGATCTCTTCTAAAATCGTCCACTGTTGACATCCAGCAATATATGAAAGCTTTCATTTAAAGCTTTTCCCAATACAAGATCAATTCTAACTGGTTCATCTCGCAGTAGCTAGAGGGCTCCTTCTTATAAACGTATTGCAATGTTGTAGCGTATGTTCTGTAAAAAGACTGAAAATAACAAGTACTTATTTACAATAGATGATTTGGGACGAATCTATACAATGGTTTGCTGCGTTTAGTACATTTCACCCACATGATGCACCTTTTTTTATTTTTATTTTATGTATAGTTGTAAGCCAGCCTGCTGCTTCTAGTCCTTCTCCTGTAGCTGCTTCCAGCAATGAAGAAGGCAAAGGTGAATCGGCCAAACCCAAGAAGAACCGGTGCTTCATGTGCCGCAAAAGGGTTGGCCTTACAGGTAAGCACTCGTCTTGGTATTCTAAGATTGCAGCTTTTAGGTCAGTTTTTTTTTTTTCTTTTTTAATGTTGTGGTTTAAACTTATCCCGTTTGTGCCTTCAGGGTTTGATTGTCGCTGCGGTAACCTGTTCTGCGGCATCCATCGATACTCTGACAAGCACAACTGTCCCTATGATTACAAGGCCGAGGCTGCCGCCAAGATCCGTAAAGAAAATCCCGTGGTTGTGGCTGACAAGATCCAGAGAATATAGGTTAAAAAACAAAAGAAAAAAAGAAAACAGTGTTAGAAATGAGGAAAAAACAACGTTGAGAAAGACTGGAGGATGAATTAGAAACTTTGACATGAGCGTGAATGGTTAAATCGAAAGGACTTGATTTGCAAAATGATGAAAAAAGAAAAAAAAATCGAAAGACCCTGCCTGAGGGAGATGCATGAATGATCATCTTTTTCTTTACATTTTTGATTAATTCATTAGATTGTTTTAATCCTTATTTTTCTGTGGTGGGAATTTGCCACTATTTTTTTTTTTTTTTATATATGTGTTTTAATAAGAGCAGATTAGGCACGATGTTCAGGATATGCTGTGCTCCTCTCACCGGTTCCAGGTTGCATTTTTGTGCCAAACAGCCATTTTTACTAAACCCTTGAATCATCTGCACTCCTTGTCCTTCAATCCTAAGAAAACTTCAGCGTCACCTTTCTCAAACCGGAGGATTATGTTTGTTTTTTACCTTCTCTCCTAGCTTTACCTACCTCAGAGCTGCTTTGTTGTCTTCCCTGTATCTCATCATCACATTGACCCTCCAACCCGCCTGGGTTGACTTTTATAGCTTGGTTGCTTTTCCATTATACCCACAGAAAATACATTTTTTTTTTCACCAAATCTGAACAACGAACGTGACGTTATAAGGACGAGTCCCGTCTCTGTGATGGATGGCCTGGTGCAGAGCGGCGAGCGCTAACGAGTGGCCGGACACTGCCAGCCGTTCCTGATGAGCTGCAATGTTTTTAAGGGGAATAAATGAGCGAAATAAATGCACGAGCTGCTCTTCATCTGCGTTAGTGTTTCAGAAGTATCACTCGCCTTAGGGTTTTTGGGGCGTTTTTTTAAATTAGCAGAGACAATTATCTGTTGTTTTTTTTGGGGGAGGGGTTGTTTCTTCTTCCATCGTACTGCCGTTGGCACATGGATTCGGTGCATTTGTGGATTTTACCTTTTTGGGAGTTTTATGCGCTAACACAACAGTCATGTGAGCACAGTGTGTGTGTGTTAGTATGTGGGGGTGCCCCCCCGTCCACCCCACCCTTTCCCCACTGTCTTTTTTTAGCTGTGGATCTACCCGGTTAATCAGCACATGTTTACAGAAGTACAGGAGCATGCCAGAGCTAGATTTCTAAATAAAAAATAGAAACTGAGATTAGATGTAACTTCTCATCTGTCAAGCGATTTATACATCTATAGAGCGCCTGTGTGCATTTGTGCATGTGCACATCCCAGTGCAAAAACCAACAAAGAAGTGCGTTTTCATGACTGCCTGACACATGTATGTTTGTGACTTTATTTTCCCCCCCGTGAGGATGTTTTTCATTTAAATAACCGCCTGAGTTTCTTTTTTCTTTTTGACTTAGTTATATGCAAATTTGTACAAAAAAAGTGGAGAAAAAACAAACAACAAACTGTGTTGATATTTATGTATTGCATATAATCTTGCTATCTAGCATTACAACAGAATAGTATCATGTAAATAAAACTGTACAGAGAGACATAACCAAGCCTCACTTTCTTTGTTTTTGTTCATACAGTCGACAATTTCACTTTACCACACTACAGTTAATGCTGATGAATGACTAAAGTCAGAATGCATAAAAATATCCCAGTTTATTCTAGTGATTCTGTTTAAAATATGTAGTAAAGCAAACACAGTCTGCTATATTTGTGCATTCTTTCAATGTTCTATTCATTGTTTTGGGATTTCCAATGAGGGTGAGAATTCAAATTGAATTTTCTATTTGATTGAATTACTGAAATTCCATCCATCCATTTTCTAACACGCTTATCCCAAGTGGCGAGGGGTGCTGGTGCCTATCTCCAGCTGTCTACGGGCGAGAGGCAGGGAACACCCTGGACAGGTCACCAGTCCATCACAGGGCAACACAGAGATAAACAACCATTCACACACACACTCGCAACTAAGGGGAATTTAGAGAAGCCGATTAACCTAACAGTCATATTTTTCGACTGTGGGAGGAAGCCGGAGTACCCGGAAAGAACCCATGCATGCTCAGGGAGAACATGCAAACTCCATGCAGAAAGACCCAGGCCCAGGTATTTTACCCGGGACCTTCTTCTGCAAGGCGGCAGTGCTACCCACTGATCAGACCTGTCATAATTCCAGGAGCCATTAAATCAGACATAAGAGGAACAGTGTAAAGGAGCCCCAGCTCTCACCTTTTAATATGCCACCCTGGCCAACCTTTCAGAGGCCGATTCAAACCCCGTCTGGGTCAGACAGGAAATATTAATCCCTGCAACCTGAAATAATCTGATCCCGTTCCGCTTTATCCAGGCTTAGTGCTGTACATGTACAAGCTCTCACTGTATGTGTTTATGTGTTTATTTTCCTCTGGCACTCCTATTGGGGAGGATCCAGGACAGTGTGTGTTTGCAGATGACGTCATGAGAACAGCTGCTCAGACAGCTGAGCTGTACTCATGTGGTGTTCCTGTGACAGAGCACCACAAAGATCATGTTGTCCACATTCTGAGGAACAATAGCTGATTTCCATTAGTGTGGGAATTAATCTAATTATTCATCTGTTAAGCAGTTTTCTTGTAAAATAATCATTTATACCACATGACTGTGTTTTAAAGCACATTCTGATCTGTGCCTGTCTGTCCCGGGGTTTACCTTCATATTGGCTCATTAAACAGGATTCTAAAAAGCACCTCGTTACCACGCATGCCTAATAAATATATATCATCAGCTTGTAAATCTTAAAACAAATCTGCAAGTATGTTTTTTTTTCTTTAAGAGAAGCAGTCCTGACCACATGCACGGCACCTTCCTCTTTCTGTTATAAAATTGTTTACCACTTGATTTGTCAAACGAAACGCTCTTTTTCTGCTCATAAACATTTTACCTCAACAATGGAGCAAAACGTTAATATAAAGCTCCCAGAACTGATGGCGAATAGGTCTAATATTTACCTCATGTAGCGATAATTGCTCCCTGAAGAGGTTAAACCGCCCCTGAGCAAGAGGTGAAATGCTGCCATCTAGTGGTGAAAAGTAGGACTACAGCGGATTTTGAAATGATAATAATAATAATAATAATAAATCCAATTTTGTACCGCACTTTTCATTAAGAAAAATCTCAAAGTGCTACACAGTGCAAATAAAATCAAAGATAAAAATCAACCATAAAAATCATGTGGTCAATAAAATCAAAGATAAAAATAAACAACATAAAAATCATGTGGTCAATAAAATCAAAGATAAAAATAAACAACATAAAAATCATGTGGTCAATAAAATCAAAGATAAAAATAAACAACATAAAAATCATGTGGAGGCAGAATAGGCTTGCTTAAATAAAAAAGTCTTCAAGCCTCTTTTAAAATCATTCAATGGTTGTGGAGCTCTCAGATGATCTGGGAGAGAGTTCCAGAGACGGGGGGCAGCGACAGCGAAGGCCTGATCTCCCATGGACCTTAATCTGGAGCGAGGAAGGTGAAGGAAGTTGCAGTCTTGTGATCGAAGAGATCTGGTGGATGAATGTGGAGTGAGAAGGTCCTTCAGATAATCCGGTGAGGATCCGTTTAAACACTGATGGGTGATGAGAGCGATTTTGTATTGAACTCTGCAGGTGATGGGAAGCCAGTGAAGGTCATGCAGAATAGGTGTAATATGGGCAAATTTGCGGGCCCTCAAGAGAATCCTGGCTGCGCTGTTTTGAATGTATTGGAGCTTCTGAAGATGTTTTTTATGGATTCCAACAAACAGAGAGTTGCAGTAGTCTAACCTGGAGGAGACAAATGCATGAACGAGAGTCTCAGCATCAGAAAAAGAAAGGAGCGGACGAATTTTGGAGATATTACGAAGATGAAAGAAACAGATTTTAGACAGATGCTTAATTTGATTTTCAAAAGTAAATTGAGAATCCATTCTAACTCCAAGATTTGTAACTATGGTGGAAAATGGGATGTCTTGTCCAGAAAAGGAAACAGTCGTCATAGTTGAAGATTGAACCTGGTGAGGTGTTCCGATCAGCATGGCCTCAGTTTTGGAGCAGTTCAACTGAAGGAAATTCTGAGTCATCCACTTCCTTATCTCCTCCAGGCAGGTAGTGAAAGCATTAAGTGAAGATGGTGATGATGCTCCAGTTCTAATATAGAGTTGTATATCGTCGGCGTAGCAGTGAAAGGAGATGTTATATCGATTTATGATTTGACCCAAAGGCAGCATGTAAAGGGAAAACAGCAGGGGCCCTAATACTGACCCCTGTGGGACACCACAGGAGACAGAGACAGCCTGGGACTTGGCCTTGCCGAGGCTAACACATTCCAGCCGATTGGAGAGAAAAGATTTAAACCAGTCCAGAACGGTGTCACAGAGACCGACCTCCACATGAAGACGGTGTAGTAGGATGTTATGGTCCACAGTGTCAAAGGCTGCAGTTAGATCAAGGAGAACAAGGAGAGATGTAGACCCAGCATCAGCTGCCATGTAGATGTCATTAGTAACTCTCAGCAAAGCGGTCTCAGTGCTGTGAGCAGAACGAAACCCAGACTGAAATTTCTCGTACAGGGAGTTTTGTTCTAGATGAATAATACTTTGTTGCAAAAGCAAGACAAAAAAGCTTACACGTGCATACAGGATAAACTATATGGAAAGAATAATAATAAAACAAAAAATGTGTAGAGCGGAAACAAAAAAAACAACTTATTATTTAAAAAAACAAAACATTTTCGTTATTTGCCCTGTAATGGACTGGCGACCTGTTCAGGGTGTACACCGCCTCTCGCCTGTGAGAGAAAATGGATGGCTGGATTTTGGTTATTTATGACACATTCAGATAAAAATGGGAAATATTCAAAATGATAATAAAAAACAGCATTGTAAAAGTTCATATGCAAAAATTGTGCACCTGCACATAGATAACTGTATCACCATAGCGCTATACTGTTGATGATTCGTTTTGCATGAATAACACAATTGAGATAAACCTCTTTTTAATATATAGATATATATCATCAGCTTGTAAATCTTAAAACAAATCTGCAAGTATGTTTTTTTTTCTTTAAGAGAAGCAGTCCTGACCACATGCACTGCACCTTCCTCTTTCTGTTATACAATTGTTTACCACTTGATTTGTCAAACGAAACTCTCTTTTTTCTGCTCATAAATATTTTACCTCAACAATGGAAGAAAACTTTACCATAAAGCTCCCTGAACTGATGGCGAATAGGTCTAATATTTACCTCATGTAGCGATAATTGCTTCCGGAAGAGGTTAAACCGCCCCTGAGCAAGAGGTGAAATGCTCCCATCTAGTGGTGAAAAGTAGGACTGCAGCGGATTTTAAAAGGAATAATACTTTGCTGCAAAAGCAAGACAAAAAAGCTTACACATGCATACAGGATAAACTATATGGAAAGAATAATAATAAAACAAAAAATGTGTGGAGCAGAAACAAAAAAAAACAAACAAAAAAAACTTATTATAAAAAAAAAAAAAACATTGTGGTTATTTGCCCTGTAATGGACTGGCGACCTGTTCAGGGTGTACCCCGCCTCTCGCCTGTGAGAGAAAATGGACGGCTGGATTTTGGTTATTTATGACACATTCAGATAAAAATGGGAAATATTCAAAATGATAATAAAAAACAGCATTGTAAAAGTTCATATGCAAAAATTGTGCACCTGCACATAGATAACTGTATCACCATAGCGCTATACTGTTGATGATTCGTTTTGCATGAATAATGCCATTGAGATAAACCTCTTTTTAACAGATTGCCGCACACACTGATCCTTGTTCTGCTCCAGGTTCCTTCCTGTTAAAAGGGACTTTTTCCTTTCCACTGTCGCTAGAAGCATGCTTGGTGTGAGGTTATGCCTTCAAGTCAATGAGTCGATGCAATCAACCGGCTTTCCTTAGATAGAAAACTTTGAATCAGTTTGACTGTATGATCTGGTTAACTGTAAAGTGCCTTGAGATGACATGCATTGTGAATTGGCGCTAAATAAATAAACAGCATTGAATTGAATAAAACACCACCTGTGGGCAGTTTTTTTTTCTGATTTCATATTTAGTTATTTAATTTCTACTCATGGCAAATAATATAACATCTGCCAGTAATCTAACCACTTTCTTTATTTTGAGCGTAATAAAGGCAATATTTAGTAAAAAGGAAGTGAAAGAAATGTGTGCAAATCGTGAAAAAAATCAGACAAGTAAATTAACTGTATTTTATTCTCTTACAGAGAACATTAGAAAGAAGAATTTCTCTTAGAATAATTTTATCTTAACAATTTGTTTTTGACTTGAATGTATTTATTTGTCCAAAGACAGATAAAACTTTCCCCTTCATTTTAAAACCCAAAAAGTCAAACAACATAGTGGTTCGTTAAAAATGACAAAATCCCCTGTTACAATACAACTTTTTTTTATTTGTTTTGGGGGTTTTTTAAAGCTCACATAATTTCTCCAAAACAACACCTATTTATTAGCTGAACTTCAGTTGAAAATGGCTCTCCAGACTGTAAAGATTAGCACAAAAAGGAGAATTTGACAGAAAAAGTTAACTTTACAGCAAGCACAAGCAATTTAGAAGCAAAGAGTGCAATTCAACAAAAAGTGGGGGTAAAGTGAAATAAATAGAACAGAATTTATATTATGCGATTGAAAAGAGAGTAGTAGGGATGAGAACAGGAAGGAGAAACCTTTGGCTGGATTAGATTAGGACATACTGGTCTTTACAGCTCATTATTCTGAAATTAGAATCACAATACAGTAAACTGCTAATATTGCGAGGGAAATGAGACAACAGAGCATATTATTTTAGTGTGTAAAATATAATGTTGGAGGAATTTAGAAGAAATAATTAAACATTTAATTAAATAAGCATACCAAAAATAATTCAAATAGTAAAAGTATTCTTAATATTTTTTAATAAAGTTGCTTAACATGATATAAAACTGTTTGAGCCATACTCCATATGAGTAGGTAGCACTGATCTCCATTTATTCACTGGCTTGCTGATTGCCCGAAAAAAGTGAAGCCACCGTCTGCCATGCTGGTACTCCCCACTCCCACGGAGACGCAGTTAAAATGCCTACATGTGTAGCATTTGGCTGCAAAAACAAGGATTTTGCTAAGCTGTGGGGAGACGTTTCACAGGTAATTTCACTGTCAGTATGTGCATACATGTACGTGTATGTTTAGTTTTTACTTCAAATGATCAGATTCTTGTTGTAACTAACAACAAAAGGCAAAATATGAACTTGATCTTGCCTGTTACTTTACCAATTTATGTGATTTTGTTAGTGTAGAAACTGAAGCTCTGTGGAGTTATTCAATTTGTTCATTAATTTAGCATTACTGTAAATCTGTCAGATTTGTAGGCTAATGCAGAGACACAGTATAAATGTATATGGCATCATGTGTGCACAATTTGCAAATAGAAAAATACTATAGCATTAACAGATGTGTACTTGTAATTCAGCTTTTATGTAAAATCTTAAAATTATATGTAAGATGTAATTACCATAACAATGAAAAAAATACATGTATATTACCCCTACATCATCAATTTAGCTCTTTTGGCACATCTCTATTGTAATGTTCCATTAACACATTAATTTTATTGTGATGGATTTGTATAATATGTTATATTACATGATTTAGAGACTTCATAATGACTATGCAATGTGATGTGCCTATAACCCAGTGGTTCCCAAAGTGTGGGGCGCGCCCCCTAGGGGGGGGCGCAATGCCATTGCAGGGGGGGCGCGGGAAGCGGTATGGATGAATGAAGAAAACAAAAAACAAAAAAAAAAAACAGTGCTTGCTTGACTGAGCATAATGGACAGTTGAGACACTGCAACCCAGATTTGAGAAGATCTGCAACAACAAGCAGGCTCACTACAGCCACTGAAAAGATGGGAGGATTAAAGTACAAAGAAAAAACTCTCAAGGAGCTGTTCAAGGTTTTCACTCCATTTTGCACAGAGGCTTTTTAATGTATTGATGATAGCAAAGTTAAATATTGTTACAAATAAAAAATGAAAAAACAAATATGTTTAAAATAACACAGACAACAAAGAATCCTCTTCTAATCTACAGTATAGAACTATGAAAAAAATACAGTTGCACAAAAGTGTTCCACTGTAAAGATGGTGTGTAGTTTGTTTTGTTGCAACCTGAAGTGTGAAATAAACTTCAGTGGAGTTTAAAAACAAAATATGTGTATAGGTTTGTTATATCAGGTTGAACGATGTGTGTTGATTTAATTTATTTATTTATTTATTTTCGGGGGGGGGGGTGCGCGGACATTTTATTGTAATCCAAAGGGGGGCCCAGGAGAAAATCTTTGGGAACCACTGCTATAACCCATGCCTATTTTTTAGTTAAATTGATCTACTTATGCAATGAAACAGCAAGTGTGTGTCAAAGTGATTAATTAATTTTCTTTATTTTAAAAGTCTTAAGTCCCCCTGAAAATGAGAACATCATTGTTGTTAGATGCTGTAGCGCACGTATTGTTTACATTGCGACTGGTCTAACAAGGGAGTACTAATGGGCAATCAGCAATCCAGGGAATAAATAGAGACCAGTGGTAGGTAGGGTAATGTACGGAAGAGGATTAGGGCCACTGGAAAAAAAAGGAAAAAAAAAAGTTAATTGACTTTTAAATTTTATTTCAGTTTAATATGGGAAAAAAGTCAGAATTCTGACTTTAAACTCATAATTCTAACTTTTTTCTCAGAATTATGACTTTAATCTCAGAATTATTACTTTTTTTCCCCATATTAAACTGAAATAAAATTTAAAAATCAGTTAACTTCTTTTTTTTTTTTTCCAGTGACCTTAATCCTCTTCAGTCAATACAATTAAAATTCCATCATGACTCGCAAAGCCACCAGGGGGCGATGCAGATTTTCCTTTCCCTTACTTGAATTCAGTTCACCCGGTTGACCCCGGAAGAGGAAGCGAGCGAAAGCCTGTTGTGCGCTCGTGCTAGCAGCGGCGTTGTTACGTAGGAAAAACGCATTATCTAATAGATTAAGGAGAAATATTTTGATACGAAATCTGAATATTGAACCGATGCGCACAAAGTTAGAGTGATAAAGCAGAGTTCAGTCAGCTCTGAATATTTGTAGAGGGAACAGCGAGAGCTGAAAGAAAAACGTCGCCATGGCGGACGTCACTGCTCGTAACCTGCAATATGAGTACAAAGCGGTAAGTTTGTTAGGAAATAAACACGTCAATATTTGGATAATAGATGTTTTTGCCGAGCGGTATGTCTTTATAAGGTCATAAATAGAATAGGTCTTTTATCTAGTTCCTGTATATTTCGTGTCTGTTCGTGTTGAATGTGTAGAACTCAAACTTGGTGCTGCAAGCTGATCGCTCGCTGATCGACCGCACACGGAGAGATGAGCCCACCGGTGAGGTGCTGTCCTTGGTGGGGAAGCTGGAGGGGACCAAGATGGGGGACAAGGCTCAGAGGACCAAACCACAGAAGTTGGAGGAGAGACGAGACAAGTCAGTGCAGATAATACAAACTTTCGATAAGTCTTATTTGGGCTCATTGATTATCAGTAAAATAATGATACTTGAAGTTAATTGATCTCAGATTGGAGAAATTTACCTCTTCATTTAGCCCATCCCCTTTGGGAGCAGTGGGCTGCCATTGTGTGGCGCCGGGGAGCAGTGTGGGGTTAAGAGTATTGCTCAGAGACCCAGAGTGACAGTCTGTGGGAGTGGGGCTCCAACTCAGAAGCACAGGATTCCCAGCTCTATGCCCTAACCACTAGGCAGCCATTCCCCAATACATTTGATCTGTTTGACACTTAAGTGATCAATGCTAAACTGACAATAGATGAACAAAAAGAACAGATTTAAATACTCAATTCACATGGTAAGCAGAGATAAATTGCTCTAAAGTTGTTTTATTACTGCAACAAAATGAAACAGGCACTAATTTCAGCTTTTGGATTCTTAGATATGAATTTAAATTATCTGCTGAAAACTGGAAGTTAATTTCACCAGCTTTTAATATTTAATTATACTTTTTCTTAGAGCTGCTAAACATGCTATACAAACTAGGTGTGGCCAACTCCAGTCCTCTGAAGCTAATCTTTCAATGTCAGAATAATCAAGTTATAAGAGTCCTGCCTAATAACATATCATTCACGTATTTTTTGCAGCAAAGATATCTCTAAAAAGTAGTAGAACATCTGTGCTATGGGGTCATATATCTGGCATGTTTGATTTAAACTCTGCTTGTAACCCATATTTGATTATTTGTTTGGTGTTTTATTGCAATTTATGTTATAAGGCTAAATGTTTTCACTCTGCTGTCCATCAAATCACTGTCACTATTCCTAACTTCCTCGTTTTCTGCTGTCCAAATAGGAGAAGAAAAAGAGATGAGGACAGACACGACATCAACAAAATGAAAGGCTTTACCCTCCTGTCTGAGGGTATTGATGAAATGGTGGGCATTGTGTACAAGCCCAAAACCAAAGAAACCAGAGAGACTTATGAGGTGTTGCTGAGCTTCATCCACGCGGCTTTGGGAGATCAGGTCAGTGACCTTAAACAATGGCAGGCTCTATAACCAAGGTTCTGTTAGTAACCCAACTGCTGCATGCCTCTATCTGCAGCCTCGGGATATTTTGTGTGGAGCAGCTGATGAAGTGTTAGCGGTGCTGAAGAACGACAAAATGAGGGATAAAGAGAGGCGGCGGGAAGTCGAGCAGCTTCTGGGGCCATCTGATGACACGCGTTATCATGTGCTGGTCAACCTGGGAAAGAAGATCACAGACTATGGGGGAGACAAGGAGTTGCAGAATATGGGTAGGCAGGCATTAATAGTTTGTAGTATCACATCTACGGGGAAGTCTTTATTTAGTTTACTTTATCTCTTAACCTGAGTCTCTGTCGCTTTTTTTGTAAAAGTTGTTTCAATTGATACATATGTTCTCAACAATTTAGTCTGAAATGTTTTCAGAAATAAAATTTCTGAAACTTTTCAAATGATGCTTTATCATTTATTCACAGATGACAACATTGATGAAACATATGGTGTCAACGTACAGTTTGAATCTGATGAGGAGGTGAGTTTCATTTTCTAAATTAACATTTTCTGATGGATGTGGAACATACTGCTCCTTTTGGATATAAGCGATTTGATCATTTTTTTATCACAATACTTTGGTTTTATCTTTAAAAGTTTATGAGCTCTGTTTTTTTTCAAAGGAAGGAGATGAGGACCAGTTTGGTGAAGTACGAGATGAACACTCAGATGAAGACAGTGAAGGGGAAGAGGCAGTGGTGACCACCAGGCTAACAGCAAACGTATGTTTAGGATGTCCCAGATTATCTGATCAAAGCATTAATCCAGATGTTTTTATTCGGTCTTATAACCTTTCATCTACGAAAAGGTTAGAAGGAATCACAATCTTAATCGGGAACCCTTCCCTCTGTAGCTTGGTGAGGCAGGTGACGTGATGTCAGAGAAGAAGAAACAGTTACATCCTCGGGACATTGATGCCTTCTGGCTCCAACGCCAGCTCAGTCGGTTCTATGATGATGCCATCGTCTCTCAGAAGAAGGCAGACGAAGTCTTAGAAATCCTCAAGGTTTTTCTCCTTAAGTGTTTTTGCTTTTTTTTAAGTTTATGCACGTATTCCTTTTGCCAGATGTTTTGATGTCTAATTTTTCTCTGAACCGCAGACTGCGAGTGATGACAGAGAATGCGAGAACCAGCTGGTGCTGCTGTTGGGCTTCAACACCTTTGATTTTATCAAAGTCCTCCGTCAGCATCGTCGCATGAGTAAGCCCATCCGGTTCAAAGCAAGCCTTCCCCGGATTTTTCATTTTTTTATCTGAAGTGGTTGTTTTGACGCTTCTTGTCTCCAACAGTTCAGTATTGCACCATGCTGGCCAGCGCTCAGAGTGAAGCGGAAAAAGAGCGGATCATTGGGAAGATGGAGTCAGATCAGGAACTATCAAAGATTCTCTACCAGCTGCAGGAGACTGAGAAGGAAGACATCATCAGAGTAAAACATCCTGTATTAAAATGATTACCAATTAAAATGTGTTTAGTGTGGGTTTTAAAACCTTTTATTTATTGTTCTCTAGGAAGAACGATCTCGCAGGGAGAGGGTGAGGAAGTCGCGGGTCGATGATTTGGAAGCAATGGACATAGACCATGGAGAGGCAAGCATATTTTTAACAACCTATTCCTGATTCACAATCTTCATCTTTTGGAAGACCTAAATGCCGGTTTAAAGTCTAATTGAAAGGTTTTAAGTTAGTTCTACTTCTTTCTATTCACTTCATCTGATGGCTCAGTTTCTCTCTTTGCAAAATGCCTCCTATGCATGATGCTACCCCCACCAAGTAGTTTCTGTTTTGTCTTTGAGGTTGTTGTTTTTTTTTTTTATCTAAAAGAACCAACCAAACAAAATGTCAAACATTGAGTATTCAACACTCAGAAGATATTGATCAGTTCTAGTTTGGGATAGATTGTTTGGAAGACATTGGGAGACATTACAGAAAAGGAAAAAACATGTAAGATTCAGTAGAGGATGTCTGACACAACCATGTTTTACAGTTTATCTTTTTGTCTAAAGCCTTGCGGTGTCTCCCTCAAAATTTCTTCTTGACTATTAGGCCAAATATTTCCATCCTTTTTCTTTTGCTTAGTCCTTGTAGAGGTCGAGTTGGGGATGGCCCCTATCTTTGGCAGTCTATAGCGAGAGGCGGGGTACACCCAGGATAGGTTGCAAGTCTGTCATAGGGCAACACAAAGACACACAACCATGCTTAAGGGCAATTTAAAGAAGCCAATTAACCTAACAGTCATGTTTTTTGGCCCTGGTAAGAAGATGGAGTACCCGGAGAAAACCTATACATGCACAGGGAGAACATGCAAACTCCATGCAGAAAGACCCTGGCCTGGGAATCGAACCCGGAACACCCTTGCTGCAAGGCAACAGTGCTACCCACTGTGTCACCGTGAAGTCTGCCTTTCTCATTTGACCTTAAAGCTTTTCTCTCTAACTTAAAATGGTCTGAATGCTAATAGGGTCAGAGATGGATGGACACTTCTGTTCTCAGGGATCAGTTTGACATTTTGGTACTTGAAGCAGTGATACTGGTGCTCAGTAGCTTCCGGTTTATGACAGGCTTGAACATGGTGGTTTCTGAACCAATCTTTCTAACCTGTTCCTTTTGTTAGAGGTGAAGCATTAGTGTCCCATTGTTGAAAACTCAGACCCAACCGGTTGCTCAAGCTGTTGCAAAAACAGAGTTTAACTGGTTTAAAAGGTTTTAGTTTGGTCCTCAAGCCTCTGAGACCAATCTGTAAGAAAAAGTTCTTCAAATAGTGTATATGATATTAAATCATTTAATGTTAAATCATCATCATAGTATGATTGTCTGCTGTAAATCAATTATAAATGACCACAAACTTTTAGCATGCTTTTCCAGCTGATAGATATCTAGCTGACCATCATTTAGAAAGCTCAGAGGGGGTGGTAACCACGTTGATGGAAAAATAAGAAACTAGTGAGGAAAGTTTGGGTTAATCAGTGCTATCATGGAAACAATCAACCATATTGTAATATTTTGTGTTTCTGATGATGTTAATGCCCAACTGTAAACATTGAAGCTGACCTGTTTCTACTGTTCATTCTCCAACAGTCTCTAATGCCTCGCCAGCTTCTGGACCTTGAAGACTTGGCTTTTACTCAGGGTAGCCACTTCATGGCCAACAAACGATGCCAGCTGCCTGACGGCTCTTTCCGTAAGCAGCGTAAAGGTTACGAAGAGGTCCACGTGCCCGCTCTCAAGCCCAAACCCTTCGCAGACGACGAGGTTCGTCTCTCCTTTCTCCCCCTTTTTGAAAAACAAAACATTTCCAAACTTAAGAGCTTAAACTATACCCTTTGTTTAGTGTCAAGCTGCTTTAGGTTCAGTTTATGTCTTGCATTCTGCATCATTAGGTTCTTGTCGCCATTGACAAGCTGCCAAAGTACGCCCAGGCTGGATTTGAAGGCTTCAAAACTCTAAATCGCATTCAGAGCAAGCTGTTCAAGACCACCATGGAGACAGATGAAAACCTGCTTGTTTGTGCTCCTACGGTGAGAAAGCCATGCTGAAGACTGACATCCTTTCCACTGTTTACCTTCCATGTCGGACCCCCTCTAATGTGGTTTTGTCGTCTTCCCCACAGGGAGCTGGTAAAACCAACGTCGCCTTGATGGCAATGCTGAGAGAAATCGGAAAGCACATAAACATGGACGGAACAATCAACGTGGATGATTTTAAAATCATCTACATCGCTCCCATGCGCTCACTGGTACAGGAGATGGTGGGCAGTTTTGGCAAGGTGAGCATTTCTTCTTCGTATACAATGGTTCTATTTCATCCCTACTGACCGCCAGAGGGCGGTGCTGAAAGCACTGAATGTTCCCTTCGGGCATGCGCAGTTCGAGTAATTATACCAACAGAGTCACACCTGTGACACCGGATGACCACTCAGAAGCTATATAGCCTGGTGTCATCCTTTGCTCTGCTCCTTTTTTCTTCTCGCAAGCGGTTCGCTAACTTCCCCGTTGTCTGAAGCCCCTGTCTCTTGACCGGAGTTGCGGTTATTCTCCGCCCTCCCAGGGCTGCAACGGGTCGATTCTGAAGATTACGGAAGGTAAGTGAGTTGTTTGCTGGTGATGGTAGCGTCCGCGCCCCCTCACCAGCTCACGACTTTAGCTTTTTACCTACAGCTTCGTGCTGTTTTGTTCCGAACTGGTGACGGCAGCGTTTTCGCCCCTACTCCCAGTGTGAATAACTTCACTGCCGAAGTTATATACGGCTAACGTAGTTAGCTTCTTTAGTTTGTTGGTGTTATACCTGGTGACGGCAGCGGTTTTCGCCCCCTCTCCCAGTATATTCCCTACTTTTGCATCCTTTTTTTCACCGGTCTGCGCTGCTATAATTACTGACGGCCGCGGTTTTCGCCCCCTCTCCCAACCAAGTGTGGTCTACTTCGTTGCCGAAGTTGGAGACGGCTAACGTTGTTAGCCTTTTTTGGTTTGTTTGCAGCCTTCTTCATCGGTCTGCTTAATTATAAATGGTGACGGCAGCGTTTTCGCCCCCTCTCCCAATATCAACCTTTTTTTGCAGCCTTTTCGTTGGTCTGCTCTCTTAATTGGTGACGGCAGCGTTTATCGCTCCTACTCCCTACTTAAGTTGCCATACAGCTAACGTTGTTAGCTTTTTTTGTTTATTGCTTTTATACCTGGTGACGGTAGCGGTTCTCGCCCCCTCTCCCGGTATCGGCCGCCTTGTGTCCGCAGCCTCTCTTGTTTTATCCGCTATAATTGGTGACGGCAGCGTTGTTCGCTCCTACTTCCAACTTAAGTTTCCATACAGCTAACGTTGTTAGCTTTTTTGGTTTATTGGTTTTATACCTGGTGACGGTAGCGGTTCTCGCCCCCTCTCCCAGTATCGGCTGCCTTGTGCCCGCAGCCTCTTTCGTTTCTCTGCTGTAATTGGTGACGGCTGTGTTTGCGCCCCCTCTCCCGATTTTCGATAACTTTCTGTTCTTTAAGCCTTGTCGGCCTTCGACATGGATGGCTCTCACAGCTGCATAGATTGTGGGGCTGCCCTGCAGGCAGAGGATGGCCACGACCTGTGCCCTACCTGCCTTGGACATGAGCACCTTTTGGAGGCGCTGTCTGAGAACCCCTGTATGAACTGCAGCTTTATGCCCCATGCAGTGAGGGTGGCCCGGTTGGCCCAGTTGTGCCCCCAGGAGGGCTCGGACCTTCCGCCCTCTGGGCAGGTGGTTCCCCCCAAGCGTTCTAAGCGCCGTGGTGGGACCACAGCATCTGTGCCCCTCCCCCGGAGGAAGCGGGCCAAACCTGACCAGGGCCTGTCCACAAGGGTGGAGCAGTTGTCAGCAGAGCTGGCAGAGATGAAGTCCTTGTTGCAGACACGGCAATCTGATCCCTCGCTCCCAGTGGTTGGGCTCTCTTCCCCACCAATGCCCGAGCTGGTTGTAGAGGATGACGTTATCTCTCTGGCTGCCTCCGCTTCTCATTTTAGAGATGAGGAGGAGGCAGGGTCCTCTCAAGCCTCTGAGGCTGGTTCATTTTCATCTCAGAGTGCGGTTGGAGAGGCCGGTGACGGTTCCATGCCGGAGGTCATGTCTATGGCCCTGAAGCAGCTGCAGCTGGAACTCCCACAAGGAGAGGCATCCAGCTCTGGCAGTGCTTTTTTCAGACGTGGAAGGGCTCCTACTCCTTTTTCTGTACCTCCATCAGAGGAGTACCTGAAGGAGTTACACGCCTGTTGGCGGGAACCGAGAGCGCTGTCGCGTCTCTCCTCGGATGGTCGTGTATTAGCTGCCATGCATGACTGAAGCATGCCGTAGGACCCTCAGGGGTGTCCCGGTTGTACCAGGGGAGCTGTTTGGATCAGCTGCCTTGGAGGCGCTGGAACGGACTGCTCAGGCACGTCAGACTAGCCAGCAGCTTTCCGGCCTTCGCAGGAGCATACCTGCCTTTCCCCAGCGTTCGGGCCGCCCTGCCACTACCCCCAGCGTTCAGCCACGACCTCAGACCGGTGGCAGACCTGTTGGTTCCTATCCCCATGATGTGCGGCAGAGACCGAGAAGGGACTTTCGTGAGCCAGTCTGCCGCCCTGTTAGACAGACCCGGGCCTCAAATCCTGGACGCCCTCCCCCCAGAGCCCCCAGGGGCCGTGGGGATAGAAGATGATGCCACCGGGCCAGCCGTCGGACATTTTTCCCATCAGCAGCTGAATTTCTGGGCTGCTCATGCCGTAGATCCATGGGTGGTTGCCACCTTAACCAATGGCTACAGGCTCCAGTTCCGACGGCGGCCCCCCCTCTCACACCGGGTCAAGATGACTGTCATCACAGACCCGGTGAAATCTCAGGCACTAGACCAGGAGCTTTCCGCCCTCCTGGGCAAGGGGGCAATCGAGTCTGTAGATCCTCTGCAGCAACCCAGAGGCTACTACTCCACATACTTCCTTGTGGCCAAGAAGACCGGCGGTTTTCGCCCCATTTTAGATCTAAGGGGACTGAATCGGTACCTGAAGGTCCTTCCCTTCCACATGCTCACCATAACAGAGGTCCTTCAGACCATTGTGGCGGGAGATTGGTTTACATCAGTAGATCTGACAGACGCCTACTTTCACGTGCCTATTGCGGCAGAACATCGCCGTTTTCTCAGGTTCGCCTATCGGGGGCGCCATTGGCAATTCCGGGTGCTCCCATTCGGGCTCTCCCTTTCCCCGAGGGTGTTTACTCGATGCGTGAAAGCAGCCCTCTCTCCTCTACAGGCCTCCGGAGTCAGGATTCTGCCATACCTGGACGATTGGCTTCTTTGTGCTCCCTCTCAGGTAGCTGCCTCTCGGGATACGTCCCAGCTTCTACTTCATGTGTCACTGTTAGGCCTCAAAGTCAACTTGGCAAAGAGTTGTCTTGTTCCATCTCAGACAACCACCTTTCTTGGGATGCATCTGGACTCTGCTACCATGATGGCCCGTCCATCTGTTCACAGGGTGGACGACATACTCCAGCTTGTCCGTCGATTCAGACTGGGCAGGGAGTTTCCCTACATCATCTTCCTGCGAATGCTGGGCAAACTGACATCAGTCACTCGTGTCGTGCCCTTAGGGCTGCTCCTTCTGCGTCCTTTGCAGCGATGGCTCAACAGCTTTCGCCTAGACGCCAGGCTGCACAGGCATCGCAGGCTAATGGTGACCAGGAGCTGCCTCCATGCCCTAGCTCCTTGGCGAGACGGGACCCTTTTGTCCAGTGGTGTTCCAATAGGGCTAGTAGTGTGTCGAAGGGAGGTGGTCACCACGGATGCCAGCCTCATGGGCTGGGGTGCCGTGTGGCAACACAGAGCTGTTCGGGGTCTCTGGGACCCAAGGGAGCGCACCGAACACATAAATGTGCTGGAGCTGCGGGCTGTGCACATGGCCCTCACGTGCCTTCTGCCCCACCTAGAGGGAAGGCACGTGCTGATTCGGACAGACAACACCTCTGTTGTTTATCATATAAACCACCAAGGTGGCACCAGGTCAGCACGTCTCTTGAAGGTGTTGAGGGATCTCCTGGAATGGGCGTTTCCCCGTCTGTGTACCCTGCGCGCAGCGTATCTGCCAGGACGGCAGAACCAGGTTGCCGACTCTCTATCCCGCCAGGCACCTGCTCCGGGAGAGTGGTCTCTTCACTGCGACGTAGTGCGCATAATCTGGAACCTCTTTGGGCAGGCAGAGGTAGATCTGTTCGCCACAGAGGAGCCGACCCATTGCCCCCTATGGTATTCCCTAACCGGGATGGCGGGCGCACTGGGCCAGGATGCACTGGCTCATCCATGGCCGCAGGTTCTCCTGTATGCCTTTCCACCCCTCTCACTGATTTGGCCGACTCTACGGAGGGTTCTCGAGCAGGGCCACAGAGTGTTGCTGGTAGCTCCGTTCTGGCCAGCGCGGCCGTGGTTCCCGCTGCTTTGGAGTCTGTGTCACGGTACTCCATGGCGTCTTCCAGCAAGGAGGGATCTGCTGTCTCAGTTGGGGGGACAGATATGGCACCCCAACCCTCAACGTCTCCAGCTGTGGGCATGGCCCCTGGGAGGCTGACTGGGTGTTCAGACACCGTGAGACACACCGTATTGAGTGCTAGGGCTTCCTCCACTCGGCTGCAGTATGCTAACAGATGGCGCCTCTTTTCTCAGTGGTGCTCTGCCCACAATGAGAACCCAGTTTCCTGCTCGGTGCCCACTATTTTGGAGTTCCTCCAGTCTCTCCTTGATAAGGGCCGCTCTCCTTCGACCCTTAAAGTGTATGTTGCAGCAATTTCATGTCTTCACTGAACTGTTGACAACCGTACAGTGGGGCGCCATGAACTGGTTTCACTTTTTCTGCGTGGTGCTCGTAGGTTGTGCCAGCAGCCAGCCCCACGAGCCCCAGATTGGGATCTGCCGTTGGTTCTCACAGCTCTGTGCCACCCTCCATTCGAGCCTTTGGCACAAGCAGAACTCAAGTGGCTTTCCTGCAAGACTGCTTTCCTGATGGCTATCGTCTCAGCTAAGAGGGTCAGCGAGCTACATGCTCTTTCTGTCAGCCCTAGGTGTATCAGGTGGAATCCAGATGGCTCTGGTGTTACCCTGTGGCCTAATACTGCGTTTGTGCCTAAGGTGTTGTCTCCTTTTCACCGTAACCAGCCATTGCGGCTGGCTCGGTTTCAGCCTCAATCTGGTGCAACTGAGAATGAGTCTGAGTTGTTGTGCCCAGTAAGAGCGTTGGAGGCATACATTGCAGCCACCGCCAATCTGAGACGCTCGGACCAGCTTTTCCTATGCTATGGGGGTCCAAGGTTAGGCTGTCCTCTTTCTAAACAGCGTCTGTCCCATTGGATTGTGAGTGTCATCTGCCACGCCTACGCTGCAGGTCACTGCTCCCTGCCAGTCGGTGTGAGAGCACGTTCCACCAGGAGCGTCACCGCTTCCTGGGCTGCTTTGAGAGGGGTTCCGCTGGAAGCTATATGTGCTGCTGCTTCATGGGCTTCCCCAACCACCTTCACCAGGTTCTACAGTGTCAATGTGGCTGCCCCTCATCCCCTGGGTCAGGTCCTTTTACAAGGTTCTGCTGGGCCTCCTCTGTGAGGTATGTGCTCAGGATTCCTTGTGACATCGTTGGCATTAGTCATTCAGTGCTTTCAGCACCGCCCTCTGGCGGTCAGTAGGGATGAAATAGAACGAAAGTTACGTATGTAACTACGGTTCTATGAATCCCGGATGACCGCCAGAGCTTCTCTGTCACTCAGAATCCTTGCTTTTGCGAGAAGATTCTGTAGGAGCAGAGCAAAGGATGACACCAGGCTATATAGCTTCTGAGTGGTCATCCGGTGTCACAGGTGTGACTCTGGCTACGTTCACACTGCAGGCCTTAATGCTCAATTCCGATTTTTTTGTGAAATCGGATTTTTTTGCGTGTCCGTTCAAGTATATGCGACTTGTATGTGATCTACTGTGTGAACTGAATGCGTCCAACCGAAGTGTCCCGCATGCGCACTCGAGGACGCGATGACGTCACACGTAGCAAGCGTCCTCAGTGTTTGCGGAAGTAAACATGACTCGTAATACCGCAGCGTATATTGCGTTCTTTAAGTTCTTCTCCAACAGGAGCAGGCACATTACGAACGAAATCTTTTTAAGAAGATCAAAAAGAAAGACCCTCCCCCGGTTCCGGTAAGACCCTTCGAGTTTGGTCTGAATCGAGCTTTCTAAATATGAATTAAATCAGCAACCTCACTTTCTCTCCATTGACTGCTCTCTGTGTTATCTTCCGCCATGGTTGTTAGTTTTTCCCGCCTCCGCTTAGTAGGACGCAGATTAGTAACGTTTAGTAATATTTGTCAAGTATCAATGACGTGTAGGTCGGATGAATGCGACCTGGCCGTACAGACACAGGTCGCATTTGAAAAGATCAGATACGTATCGGATTCAGGACCACATATCCAAGTGGCCTGGGTCGCATTTGAAAAAATCCGATCTGTGTCGTTCAGACTGTCATAAAAAGATCAGATACAGGTCACACATGGGCAAAAAAATCGGAATTGGGTCACTTCAGGCTGCGGTGTGAACGTAGCCTCTGTTGGTATAATTACTCGAACTGCGCATGCCCGAAGGGAACATTCAGTGCTTTCAGCACCGCCCTCTGGCGGTCATCCGGGATTCATAGAACCGTAGTTACATACGTAACTTTCGTTTTACTTGCTTTGAAGGATCTTTAGTACAGGTCAATGCAGAGGTATTTATGTCTTTGCTTGTCTTTGCTCAGCGTTTGGCGAGTTACGGCATCGTTGTGTCCGAGCTGACGGGAGACCACCAGCTTTGCAAAGAGGAGATCAACGCCACTCAGATCATCGTCTGCACCCCAGAGAAATGGGACATCATCACTCGGAAAGGTGGCGAGCGTACATACACCCAGCTAGTGCGCCTCATTATCATTGTAAGTTGCGCCACACGGCAAGTTTGAAAGCATGTGAAGTATGTTTTTGAGGATGACCAGCTGCGCGTCATCTAGGATGAAATCCACTTGCTGCACGATGACCGTGGACCCGTTCTGGAGTCCCTGGTGGCGAGGACCATCCGCAACGTGGAGCTGACTCAGGAGGACGTGCGTCTGATCGGCCTCAGTGCCACGCTGCCCAACTATGAAGACGTGGCTACCTGCCTGCGCGTTGATCCTGCAAAGGGACTGTTTTACTTTGACAACAGGTATTATTTTCATTACAATCCTGTAAACTGTTGTTTCTTGCTTTGTTACCGGGTCAAATTTCTAAATGGTTTGATCTTTCTTTCTAGTTTCCGGCCTGTGCCCCTGGAGCAGACGTACGTTGGTATCACAGAGAAGAAGGCCATCAAGCGTTTCCAGATCATGAATGAGATCGTCTATGAAAAGATCATGGAGCATGCTGGAAAGAACCAGGTGAGTCCCACAGCTGCTGTTAGCAACATTTATTAAATGCAACAACTTGGGAGGAAATTTCAAGCGTCCTCTTTTGCTCCCAAACACTATTGATCTGTTTGCTTTACAGTATTTCCATTTCAATGTTTTCATTAAATCAGTGAACAGACCTCCCCTCTCAGCCTGTTTATTGTAAGTGATTTTATCACAGTTATTTTTAAAGATTTAAAGGAATAGTACACCCAAAACATGATTAGCCTTCATTTTCTACTCACCCCCATGCTGAACAACACTCTGGAGTACTTTTTGATATCTCAAATGCATCTGGAGATCTGGGAGGCTTCTTGCTGTCTGCTGACGTTCAAATAATGGAGGTCTACGGTGCCCGAGACAGAAAGGCAAGGCAAGTTTATTTGTATAGCACATTTCATGTACAGAACAATTCAAAGGCTGCGTCTCAATTCGCAGGCTGCGTACTTGGTAGTACGCATTTTGAGGCCGGTGACGTCACAATGCTGCGCGGAGGCCGTCCCATTTGGCAAAAATTCTGAGGACGCTTAAAATGCAGCCTTAAAATGCGTCCTCCTTTTCCCCGAATTCTGAGGATACATCGCTACCGTCCTTAGTGGCCTCGCCTCCCACTAGATTTCCCGAGGTGCTTTGCGCGCTTCTTTTTTTTTTTTTTTAGTAGTTGAAGAAGAAGAAGAAAGTCGGATTTTCTTCAAGTTACGGACAACCGAAAGCAGCAGCAGCGCCGACAGTAGTGTGGAGAACACCTTTAAATGTAAGTAGTTTGTTTTTTTTAAATGAACGTCTATTAAAATACATGACGGTAACGGAGCCAACGGAATGTGTAGGAGCAGCTAAAGCTAAGAGCTAACCTGTTGATACGTGATGTTCATCAACAATTAAAAGCCTTCATACAAATGTCACTATTTTTTATTTTAACCTACATCTTACTGTACTGATAGCCGTATCCCTCACTAATCAGATCATTTTATTCCCAAACAGTTTATTACAAAGTATTAGAACTTTTAAAGCTTAATGCAGCTGAAGAAATAACATTAGTCCAGCTGTACTGGGCTGTCAATACTGCAAACGTTTTGTTTTATTACTCAATAACGTATAGTTTATTTACAGTACAGTATAATAAGGTTTAAAGTATAATTCGCTTGAAGAACAATACAGGTATAATTATACAGAACAGTCATTTTGCCTGTTGACTTAACAGAAATATGCTTTACATGTCATTTTGTTCCAGGGAGCAGACAGAGAAGTGGATAAAATGACCACCTTATCATCGGGGCCAAAAATACTGCTGCAGTCGGATGGAGGGAAGAGGCAGAATTCCATCTACATGTTGCATTTCTATGTAAAAGTCACACAAGTTAAAAGAAGTCCTGTTCAAACACCAACGTACAAATATAATCTTTTGATCACATCAAATGATGCCCAGATGCCACTTTATATAAATCTCATATTTGTGATAGAAGTGATCCTTGTGTAGGACAACTTAAAAAAAAAAAAAAAATACAAAGTATGTTCAGGTTTGGATAATGTAATGGGACACACACACACCTATATATATATATATATATATATATATATAATGTATGTATATGTATGTGTGTGTGTAGGGAAATTACATCTTACATTTATTATATTCATGTTAATTTACACTTTGAGTAAGCTTGAAAAAGTAATCTCCAGGTTACCATTCCAAAGTCTTTTTCTGTAGAATTTCATCAATCATCCAAATCACGAAACATTCCTTTTTTCGAGCTTTAAAGAAACACTACAGAAAATAGCATCTGTTGCTACAAATTGTTTTCCTCTACTATAGGAATGCAAAGATCCAGGGCAGCGGTCAGTGGGAAGCCTACTGCTGCCACCTGGGCCTGGTTTGTCCTCATGGAGGAGGTATTAGGACAGAGGCCCTCTGTTGCCCCACCGGTCCTAATTGCCTCCGTCCCTGAGGACACACCAGGGCCAGGTGCTGCAGAGGCTGAGCAGCATCAGGGTGAAGATGAGGAAGAGAATGAGGATGAGGGAGGAGGGAAAGGAGGAAGAGAAGGAGGAGTGACGAGTTGGTGGATTTAATCAGGGAGGATATCAGATGGCAGAGGGAGGCGGGAAAGGATGGACAGATTATTTCAGTTATTGGAGAGGATGGTGGACAGAGGTTACTATTTTTTTGGTGTTTTTTTTTTTAACAAGTTGAGGATCTGTGTTGCTGTTATTAAATTAAATTATTAAATTGTTTATAAAAGTTATTGCTGTCGGTGTGTTCTTAAAGTCTTTTAACCTTTTTACATGATCTGTTTCATCACTTCTTTGTAATTTAAGCAAACTTAGAACAACTTCTCAGTGACAGTTTATTTTTAGAGAAGCAAGTATTTACAATAAACTATTAAACATTTTTAACTATTGACATTAGATTTTAAAATTAACTACTACAACTATTTACAGAAGATATACAGTAAATATTACTAAAGAACATATATATACAATTGTGACTGAGCAGGAGTCCCTGGTGGTGCTGGACTGGATGCGATGCCACACAGATGAGCTTGGAGTCTTCTGACTGCGAGTGGGACATCATCTGGTGGGTGGGGGTTGCCTCTCTCCACTGCTGATCCAATCGATGGCTGCCATGTTACTAAAAATTTTCAAAAAGATGCAGAAAATAATGACTTTACTAAAACTGTTTTTATAACCCTGAAATGAGAACAGCTAAAATGTGATTCTACTTGCCATCTACAGGTGCTGGTCATAAAATTAGAATATCATGAAAAAGTAGATTGATTTCAGTAATTCCATTTAAAAAGTGAAACTTGTATATTATATTCATACATTACATACAAACTCATATATTTCAGATGTTTATTTTGTTTAATTTTGATGATTACAAATGACAACAAATGAAAATCTCAAATTCATCATATCAGAAAATTAGAATATTACTGAAGACCAATAAAAACAAAGGATTTATAGAAATGTTGGCCAACTGAAAAGTATGAACATGAAAAGTATGAGCATGTACAGCACTCAGTATTTAGTTGGGCCTCCTTTGGCCTGTATTACTGCAGCAATGCGGCGTGGCATGGAGTCGATCAGTCTGTGGCACTGCTCAGGTGTTATGATAGCCCAGGTTGCTCTAATAGTGGCTTTTAGCTCTTCTGAATTGTTGGGTCTGGTGTATTGCATCTTCTTCTTCACAATACCCCATAGATTTTCTATGGGGTTAAGGTCAGGAGAGTTTGCTGGCCAATTAAGAACAGGGATACCATGGTCCTTCAACCAGGTACTGGTAGCTTTGGCACTGTGTGCAGGTGCCAAGTCCTGTTGGAAAATGAAATCTGCATCTCCAAAAAGTTGGTCAGCTGCAGGAAGCATGAAGTGCTCTAAAACTTCCTGGTATGTGGCTGCGTTGACCCTGCACCTCAGAAAAATCAATGGACCAACACCAGCAGATGACATGGCACCCCAAACCATCACTGACTGTGGAAACTTTACACTGGACTTCAAGCAACGTGGATGAAGTGCCTCTCTTCTTTTCCTCCAGACTCTGGGACCTTGATTTCCAAAGGAAATGCTAAATTTACTTTCATCAGAGAACATGACTTTGGACCACTCACCAGCAGTCCAGTCCTGTTTCTCTTTAGCCCAGGCAAGACGCTTCTGACGCTGTCTGTGGTTCAAGAGTGGCTTGACACAAGGAATGCGACAGCAGAAACCCATGTCTTTCATACGTCTGTGTGTGGTGGTTCTTGAAGCACTCACTCCAGCTGCAGTCCACTCTTTGTGAATCTCCCCCACATTTTTGAATGGGTTTTGTTTCACAATCCTCTCCAGGGTGCGGTTATCTCTCTTGCTTGTACACTTTTTTCGACCACATCTTTTCCTTCCCTTCGCCTCTCTATTAATGTGCTTGGACACTGAGCTCTGTGAACAGCCAGCCTCTTTAGCGATGACCTTTTGTGTCTTGCCCTCCTTGTGCAAGGTGTCGATGGTCGTCTTTTGGACAACTGTCAAGTCAGCAGTCTTCCCCATGATTGTGTAGCCTATAGAACTAGACTGAAAGACCATTTAAAGGCTTTTGCAGGTGGTTTGAGTTAATTAGCTGATTAGAGTGTGGCACCAGGGGCCATCA